TCTTATAACTCCAAAAAAGCAAATGAAAAAAATGTATTAAATCAAGCTTTGAAAATTCAAACACTTTTTACAAATGTAACCAAATAGTTTTCTACCCTTCAAATTAAAGTCAGAAGTCTAATATCAAATACACATTTCAAATTGAAATTACAAAGTGAATATTACAGATTTAAAAAAATTTTGGTTTCTTTAGTTGTTTTAGACACATTAAATTACAAAGGCAGATTGTCAGGAGAATCTTAAAACTTATTTCTGAACTTAATACAAAAGTGTTAAAGCTATGGGTTTCATTTATGTCAACTCTATGTTTTTCTTTTTCCTTTTATATACTTTGCTGGCATTGTACACTTAACATAAGGCACAGATCATATCAACCATCTCAGATGGCTTCCAGGTCAAAGATTCTGGCCCTGAGGTTCCTGGGTCAAAGATTTAGGCACTTGATTTGGGCTTTTGGCCTGAGAACCTGAGGCAGGGCCACTGGTCTCTCCTCAGATAACATGACACAAACCATAGAGTAATACAGTTAATTCTAAGAGTTGGGGCCAGGCTGCTAAATCAGTGGAAGACCTTAAGAGCAGGCTTTTTTATCTGTGAGTTGGCTTTACAACTAAGCCCCATGGACATCTTTCAAATGGCATCCTTACCTAATTTTTATTTATTTACTTACTTTAATTATTTTTTAAATTTATTTTTTATTTTTTTAATAGTTCAAATACATTTGTCTCCATTTTTCCACTACCACTTTCCTCTGCCCCCTCCCCCCATACCCAATTTTTATCTTAACTGTTTCTGATTTACCTATCAACTGTTATAGACTGATGCATAAAATCATGCCCCTTATCTTTCATTGCTTTATTGAACTCAACTAATTTTTTTAGTACCATATTTTTTCAATGTTTGCTGATGGTTACAATTCTATACTCATTATAATGATTAATGGGTGATTTAAAATCTCAGCATTCTTATGCATTTACTATTTATAATGGCCACTGCTGATATCTACCATGTAATCATGAGTAATGGGAGATGCCTCTGAGACTCCACTAGAAACCAGTAGGACCTTAAAAGTGTTGAAGATACAATACAGCAACATTTGGAGTTTGGCAGAAGATTACTCCAAGAGAATGTGCCAGTGGCCAGGGCAGCTTAGCTTGTCTGATCTGAGAGTGAGAATGACCCAGCTTAGAGAGCCAGGAGGGGAGGACCAATCTATGAGAATAGCAACCTAATACTGACTGCACCCTAGGCTCTGTTTTGTTCAGGCAGGAGCAGTGAAGAAAGAGCTGCTTCACATATCTACTCCAAGAATTACAAACTGACTTGCATCTGCACCCAACTACCTCACCTCCCATAGGCTTGGCTTCCATAATCTTCCCTTTTCTCTTTTGCATTCTTTCTCCCATCTACCGAATAGTTCATATGAATCTACCGATGTGCTAGAAAAATTTCATTTAAACACAAAAATCTTCCTTTGATCCTACAGGCCCTTCCACGTACCATGGCATTTCTCTGTCCTCTCACTCCCTTTTTGTACCCACATTTATTTATCTCACAGTGATACTACTCAAAAGAGTCTTGCCTGTATTCGATGGCTCCACTTTCTCTTTCATTTTCCCCTCAACACATTCCAGGAAGACTTGTCCTCAAGCTCTGTCCTCTCTTTTGTTATGGCTGCTCACAACCTCTTTCTCATGGAATCCAGTGGCCAGGTACATAGGTACTCAGCCTCTCAGCACCATTGCGCCTGGTGGGCCACTTCTCCTTCACCTAATTTCTCCAGCTGTTCTCTCCCTCTCAGGCTTTTTTTTTTTTTTAATCTCCTGGTCACCCCTCTTAGATGTCTTTTGAGGGCTCTGTTCCTTCTTGCAGCTTCTCTGTGTTGCTGTGCCCAGGCATTAGTCTTTGGCCAGTCTCTCTTTCCTAGCAATATTCTCTTGTTAGGTGGTCTCAGGTGACCCTCGGCATGTGACCTACATGCAAGTTGATCCTGAGTCTGATCTCAAGGGACATTGAAATTTTATATTCTCGTGGGTGTTGAGTAGGTATCTCAAATATAACTTGGCCAAAATGTAACTTTTTCCTACCCAGCCCACACACAATGCCTGCTTCTTCTCAAGGCTTCCCTATTTCCGCTAAATACCCCCATGTACCCACTCACCTGTGAGTCCTTCAATTACTCTCTCTTCCTCTCATTTCCCACATTTACTCCAGCAGCCAGTTCTGTTGTCCCTGTGCCTAGAATACATCCCTCACCACATTTTCTTCTAGTACCTTCACCTAAGACACCTCTGTCTCTGAGGCAGTCCATCTCCTCCTGCCCCCAGGGTTCATTCTTCACACAACAGCAAGAGTGATGAAACATATGAGATCATCCTTCCATGTGTAAAACTCTCCAATGCCTTTGCCTGACACGCTCAGTCCAAACTCCTTACACAGAGACCTGGCTCTTGCCTGCCTCTCTGTCCTCCCTTCCAGCACCACTCTTTTTTGTCCATTCTGCTTCATCCACGATGGCCTCCTTGCTATGTCTCATTCATTCCAAGCCCACTTCTGGTCTGGGGCCTCTATGTCTCAGGGTTCCATTCTCTTGGCATGCTGTTCCCCAGATCTTTGCAAGATTGGTACCTTCTCTACCTACATTCAGGGCTCTGCTCAAGCCACATTCTCAAGTGCCTTTCTTCCCTGTCCACATCACTTAAAATAGTACCTCTCATTACACCCACCCACTTATTCTCTACTCTATTACCCTATTAGTCACTTTATCGCTGATGAGGAACTGAACCACAGGTACTAGAGTTGATCACCTCACCCCCACCCCCACCTAACATTATTAGAGAGGAAGAAAAGAGGTCAGAGGTAAGAGTGAGCCCATACTTCCCACTCCAACCTTCGCCCTCTAATTGTGCAGCAGAGCTCAATTTGTTGTTGTCACTGCTGTCACCTGACACCTTGACAACAGCTGAGTCACCCCTGGCATTCATCCAGCCCAATGAACACAGCACCAGGGCAGGCAGACACACACAAACTATGTGGCCCCAGGGGCCCCTCTTCCAGCCAGGCTCTTCTCCAGGTTGAGTGTGGTAGCATATTGGGATGCTCCGGTGGTGGCCCTCACTTCCTGATCCTGAGGGGTGAAGGATTTCATAACTTTTTGGCACTGCAGGCTGATGGGATTTGGGTGCAGGGGATGGAGGTGAGTGCCTGCAGAGAAAAAGAAGCATTGACCCTTTGAAACAGTCTGTGGGACCTGGCTCAGGATCTGGAAGGGAGTGGCCAGATACCAGTCACAGCTCCTACTTTTAGCCAGTCCCCTTTAGCAAGTGTGGATAGACACTTGGGATATTTCCAATTTTTTGCTATTACAAGTAATGTGCAATGAATAATTTTGATTATGTGTCATTTCACAAGGGTATATATCCATCTGCAGGATGGATCCTCAGAAGTGAGATTGCTGGGCCAAAGGGGCTATGCATTTGTAACTTTCATAGTTGCTATAAACTTTTCCTCTACAGGAGTTGTACCAATTTATGCTCCCACTTGTAATTCTTAAGAGTGGAAGTCGTCTGGCTGTTTTGACAACAGGGTATGCTGTTAAACTTCTGATATTTGTAATATGGTAGACCATTGGTACTCAGGCTGTTAATTCATCTTATTATAAGAAATGTTGAGCATCTTTTACTCTGTCCAAGATTAATAGTATTTTCTTTTTTGTTGACAGTCTATTAAAATATTTTTATTGATTTTTGTTTATTTTGTTAAATTTTTGTTCTTGGTTTTTTTTTTTCCTAATGTTTTAAGGGAACTCTTTGTAAATGCTAAGCAAATTCTCCCTTTGTCTGAGACACAAGTTATGACAGCTTTTCCACCAGGCTGTTTTTGTGCTTTGACTTCGCTTCTGGTGACTTCTGCAGCCCTGAGGTTTGCTCCTGCATCATTCATTCTCACACTGCACGCCTTTGTTCACACTGGCCCCTCCACCTGAAGTGCATTTTTCCCCTTTTCTACTTGCCATGCTGCTTTTATTTTGCTTGTTTATCTCTGCCTCTTCTATGTAGGAATACCTTACCTTTCCTGTTTCTGTGCTTGCAGCCCCTAGTACACAGCATTTGCTTAATAAATGTTTGCTGAATAAACGAATAGAGAAATTGTCGGTAGCTGTTTCCACAATGCATAGTCACTATAATGCTTCAGCTGATCTTGTTTTCAGATCTTGTTTGCACTGGATGTCCCTTTGATGAAAAACAGAAATGAAGGGGACAGGTGGGAGGAGGCTCTGCTGAGCAGAAATCTTTCCTGGGATGTGGCAGCACACAGTGAGGAGTGGGCTGCTGGCTCCCCGACTAGGCTTCCCCGGCCCCATTTATTTTCCCTCTTCTGTGTCAGATCCAAGAAAAATCAGTCACCACATGGGAACAAAGTTCTTTTTCAGCGAAATTTATTTCAGAATTATTGAAGCAATGTGATCTTGCTTCCTCATTCACAAATATTTCTATTAAAATAATCTGAGCTTCTTCAGCTTGGTAAAATAACTTAATATAAAGACAGCACAGTCATCCAAATCAAATTGGCTCCTTTGATACTGAAGACTGAACTCTTTCATAGGAACTGCTGCTTCTTGGCTCCCTTGAACTAAATTAAATAGACTGACTCATCAATAAATAAATAAATATATACTTTAAGTGGCTGCTCATCAGAAGCTGGGTGCAAAGGACAGAGGGTTTCTTTGAACCAAATGTGCAGTGGTTTCCGCCAGGGTGGCTTTGTGTGAGCGGAGAGTGAGAGAGGCCTGGCCTAGCACATGGCTCTAAGGATTGGCCCTGGGAGGACAGGGCTGCTTCTCCTGTCTGGTGGTTTCCTTAGTATTAATGTAGGGGAGGCAGCTGGGTGTTGACTAGACAACAGTGAAGCAGCCCACTGCCATGTTCAAACCATTTTATATCTCTTCAGCAACCCTTGGATTTCTGTAGCACATGTGGGCCCTCTGCGTGCAGGTCTCTTCAGGAAGACAGGATTTCCAAGGTGAAGTCAGTTATATTCTGGCCACCTCTAACATTTCCTAGGAAGACGGGTGTCTGTTCCATTTGTGAGGTGCTGATGTACCAGCTGGGATACAGGGCAGACTCGAATTCTACCTTGCCCATGATTTCTGTCTTGTTGAAGACAAATCGCTTATCCATCTTCTTCTTTGACTGATCTTTGGGGTCTAATGTCTGCAGCAAAACAGAAGTCAAGAATTTTGTGAGGAAAGGAACAAAGATACTCTGATGAAGCTACTCTTTGGGTCAGTTAGAGAGGAAACTAAAGAACCAAGACCAGAAGCCAGAATCCTGAGTTATCTTTGTGACCCCTACTTCCCATGCGGTGACTGAAGGAGCTCTTACCCTTTTCTGAACCCAAGTGTTAAATGGTAGGGAGCATAATAGAGGTGGGCATTTTTTTTTAAAAAGTGAAAGTTACATTAAAGCTTCTAGGAGTCCCTGGTTTCCAGGGATTTAAAAAAAATTTTTTTTAGGTCCTTAGCTAGAATGACTTCAACTTGGAAATGAAGCTTTTGCTGTAAAAGCTGGAGAGTGGGAGGGATTGTGATTTGGAGAGTGGAATGGAGACAACAACAGGGGACAGTTCTCTTGAATTGATTAATTTCGCCAAATGTCATCTATCAAATGGAGCAACCCTAACATTGCATAATCTGTTGGGTAGTAAGAGTGACAGGGCTGGTATGTGGGGAAGGATTAAGAAAAAGAGTGACAAGGCATAATAACATCAAAGAAATGATGTAATTTTCTGCACTGGCAGTGAAAGTTGCATGTATTTAACAATTACATTCAATTTATTTACATTTCTGCAAAATTATCAGGAAGATCTGCTCCCAGGTTTTCTGGCAGGGGAGAAGGTGGTTGTCATGGAAGTCAGTGATGGCTAGGGGTGCTTCAGAAGAGCTGAGAAGGCCCTTTGGCCCCTGGTACTCACTCACCTCCAGCAGCAGGGTGGGCTTCCGGTCCTTCATCACACAAGACAGGAATAGGTCTTTTTCCTTGATGCCCAAGGCCACAGGTATCTTGTTGTTATTTTCTTCCCCTGGCACAAATCTCATGCAGAACACCACTGGAGAAAGAAGAGAGCCCTGTGGTCAGGGAAGCACAGCAGTGCAGGGTTGGCCCAACCACTGGACCCCAAACCCAGGACTCGTACAGTTGAGCCTCCTCTGTGGGAACCTCCCTACGGATTCTCATAGACCATAGCAAGTTCAGTTGGTTGATTCTAGTTTTTCCCAGAGAAGGTCTGGGGACTTCAAAGAGCCTCATTACAGTGGCTGTGAAGAATTAGGGGCTAATTTTTAAAAACTAAGGGAAGGAAGGTAGGAAGCCATCTTGTCACTGGCCAGTGATGCAGCCTCATGAACAGAATGATTTGATTGATGTGAAAGGCAAAGACAGAGGTCGGGCAGGGCTCTCTAAATCTGTTTGGCACAAATCTATTTCAAGAGTGTAAAACAGCAAGTGGGAAGAACTTGGGCGAGGGGAGGCTTAGTTGTGAAACGTGGCTGCAAAGACAGACACTCATTTTAATCTTCCTTAGTCACAGCTGTCTCACTTGGAGGCCCCAAGGTCATGCTCACAACTCAGTTCTAAAGAAACAGGATGGTCCTGTCTTAGTTGAGAGCAGGAAGCTTCCCCCAGGGATGCCTCTCTCCAATGTCAGCAGCCCTGGAAGAGAACAGGCTCCTTGTTTCCACTGTTCCCTTGACCACCCCCATGCACAGAGGATTCAGTCACAGTGGCAGGGTGCCAGGCAGATCCCACAACTAATGGGCTCCCCAGACTTGGAAGATTTGCCTGTTACAGCAGAGAGATAAAAGTTCCTGCTAGCCAGTGAAATTTCTCTATAAGGATTCCCGTGGTGTTGGGTGGGAAGGATGTTAGGGGTGCAGGGGCAGGGTTGGGAATGGCGATGGATACATTTCTTCACCATTCTACTTTCATCCTCAACAACAGGAAAAAAAAAACCCCATAGGCAGGTAGGTCACATCCATCAAATGACCCCTTTCTTAACTGACATTGCGCTGTCATTAAATGACTTGGCTGGACTGGTCCTGGGCATGTTTGAACAGTCTAATTTCTTTGAGTTACATCTCTTGCCAGAAAATGAATGTGCTAAGGGAATCAATCTGGTGCCATCTTTGGGACCCAAACAAGAAGCTATACATTTTTTATAGCATGTTTTTTTTTTCCTTCCCTCCATTGATGTTGATAATTTGCTTAATGTCCTACTTTGTTGCAAATGTGGAGGATAAGCAGTTGTCAGGGTGCCAAGAGAAGAATCAAGATTTCCCACTTACCTTGTCGGTTCATATCCTGTCTAGTGAGGTGAAGAGCCTGCAGCTCATGTGGTCCAGACAGCACCACGGATTTTTGGTTTATGTCACGGAGTCTGCAGTTCAGCGATGGTAGGAATGCATCACACACGTAGGCATCATCCTGCATGCTGTTGATGGGCTCTGAAAGGGGAAACATGCATTGTTTAGGTAGAAAATGAAAAGGGACAGTCTGTGGACAGGAATTTGGCTTGTTGGAGGACACGCACATCTCAAAAAATTGTAACACAATGAGGAGGAGTTAGGGGTGGATAAGAACATTGGATGTGGCACCTTCAGACATGGGTTCAAGGTTCAGTGCTATTGCTTGCTATGGAGAAACAATAGAGTAACTTATGTAAACTGGCAATCCAAAAATACTGGCCCAACGAGGAGAAAACAATAAGAAGAAGCACTCTGAGAATGATGGAATAATTTGCAAATCTGAGTCGTTATTAAGATCTTATTAGGACAATAGTTTCAACTAAAGAGATGATCAAGTTGGTTTTTAAGGCTTCTCTCTTTTCTTACCATTAATGGACCTAAAATTTTAAAGGGTATTAATGAAAGAATGTTCAAGTCTGTAGAGAGCTTTGTAAGAGTTTATCTAAACCAAGAATTTGGGGACATGTCCAGAAGCAAGATTGCCACAGATTGAGAAAACACTCCAGAGAATGACAGTTTTGCAGTTCATTTTACACATTAGAATCAAAGGGCCTTTGTAGTTTTCCCTTTTGCAGTAATTTCAATTTTCTTCTAAAGTCTTGGAAAGAAGGGAAAACTCCTTCTTGGAATCCTCAGGGCAGCCCTATGCTTACCTCTGTTTCTCTTCTTTTCCTAAACCCCATTTCAGTTTCCTACAGTCTTTCTTAAGATGACCTGGCTTTTTTTTTTTTTATTTTTTTTATTACCATAAAAGCAGTCTCTGCTTTCCCCATCAAGAGAGCTTTTGGTGAGGTCTGACCCAATCGCTTCATCGCTGGAGCTGTAAATTCATAATTTTAGTGGCTTTATCTTTTTCTTTTTTTGGATAGTTTAAGGTAATTGATCAGCCAAATTGTTAGTTTCATATGTTCTATCAGTTAGATCAAATTTCTTTGTGAACATCAGGGAGATCAAGGAAATCTCTAGTTAGATTCCTTAATTCTGTTTTAGTCCAAGGAATGTATACAATTGCTGGTTCCTCTCAACTATACTGGCTTTTCCCTAAAGGGAACTGCCAATATTTCTGGTTTTCCTACATTATCCTGGTCTGGCTTTCTATTTCCAGTTTCCTCTATGCCATTAGGGAGGGGTGGTGAAGGAAATGAAGGGAGAGAGAAGGGAGAGAGAGGAAGAGAGGGCAAGTCCGAACAAGAGGCACATACTTCTTTTCCGTTGGTGGATACAGCATAATTAACAATTAACATTTACAGCATAGAGAGACACGGAGATGGCGTGTGGGGATAAGATGACAGTGAGGGGCTTGGTGGTCTCCTGCTTTGGTGCCTGCAGTTGTGCCTCCAAAGGGTAGGGAAAGAAAATTACTCTGACATTTCAAAAGTGTGTTCTCCTAGAAGCACAAGAACCTTGGACAGGGCTCCTTAAGGTGAAGAGTGACCTTGCTAAGGAAATTGCGGGCCTCGGACTTGAAGACCCGCCATGAGTTGCCCAGATAGCAATTCGTGATCAGACTGTCCTTGGTGGTTACTCTTGGCTACCAAGCTTCTCAGGCCTGCCACCTGGTTCCCTGAGCTTTTTGGGTCTGCTATGTCACCTCTTTTGTTCTCAAGGGTTTCAGCTTTGGAGGAGATTGGCTGTTGTGTTATGGATGCTGAGAAGTGGAGCTTGCTTGTCTGTCCTTAGTTCTCATTAAGTACCTTCTTCAAAGATAAAGAAAAAGAGGCTTCTCAGGTCATCATCCAGGAAGTCCTGTGAGCAGACAATGGGCATTTTCTTCAGTTTTTCCACAGCAACCATGACCGACACGACCCGCCTAAAACTGGAGTTGCAGAGCTGGTGGGAGACTTTCAGTTGGATGCTCCCACCTCCCAGAGAGCTGATGTCCACATCTTGAAAGGAGCACTGTGGAAAGACCAAGGAAGTGAGTGTCTTAAGGTGGTTGGGCCAGAGAACTCCCGTTTTGTCATCAGAGAGGCAAAAGGGGCCTTAGAAATAAAGGAGCCTCTAAGGATAAACTCTCATCTCACTGAAGACCAGAGAGATTAAGTAGCTCACTCAAGGGCACGTGGCAGGTTAATAGCCAGAATGTGGGCTTTTTGATGCCCAACAGGGTATTCTTTTAGAACAAATCCCATTTGTACATTGTGTATCTTTTTACACCTGCTCCACTAACTATAAACTTCTTATCTTTTTACACTTCATACCTTTTTGTATCCCTAATGCTCTAACACTATGCATTTAATTTTTTGTGTCAGTGATGATCATAACTTTTTGTATACATTTGTGCTCATTCAACAAGTTTTTTACTATTCTAAACAAGTTCTTTTTTTTTTCCCCCAGAATGCTGTTTCATAAGCTTTCTGCAAATACATAAAAAATGGTTACTCTTTGTAAAGTTCCCACTTTGCTGTTATTCAGAGAAATTGTGTAACTGTATATTAAGGCTTATCTGGACTTGTCCTAAGTAATGACAATGGTTTAAAAGCTTGAGGGACAGTTAAAGAGACCTCTAATGGTACAGAAGAGCACAGAAGAGGGACGGACTAAACCAGTTAACCCTCACATTAAAACATTTCTGGCAAGGTCCAAAAGGATGAAATGACTTGTCCAAGGTTAAATAGCAAGTGAATGATTTTCTTTCAACTCCCAATTCATCTTTTTATTTACATTATCTACATTTGATTGTCATAAACTCCACCCTAGAAAGCAAAAAACAATTCTACCTTAAACAGGGGCAGACCTGTTAACGCCATGTGCTCTGGGTGTCAGAACTTGGCCCAGTGGGTAATGCAGGCTGTGCCCCTCTCCTAAAAGGAGAATCGAATCTGCTGCTTTGAAGCCTTCCTAGCCTGTCTTCCTGGCATTACATAGCAAACCTCCTGACCACTCTCGCCCCCTTGCCGTCTGCAAGCAGGGCGTGTCCCCAAGACTTAGAGAGCGACTGGGTAGCATGGGAGCTGGCCATTGGCCAGGTCACCAAGCAGCATAGCCTGCACCTGCCTTACTGGGAATTGTGAGAGTTGTCCCATCATAAAATACCACAGGATCAAAGTGGCCCAGAACCCTTTTCCTTGAGCCTTTCTCAGGTCAAAGCCCTCCATGGGTTGGAGTTGAAGCTCATGGTCTCACCTTAGTCTGTTGGGGGCCATCAGCCTCAAAGAACAAGTCATTCTCATCACTGTAATAAAAACAGAGACACTGCTCAATTATGTCTCCCAGACAAGTTTACTTTTTCTTCCTGTAAGCAGTCTTCATTGTTAATAGGAAACTATAAGTAGCAGGTCCCTTAAAGCTTCTAGAAGCTGGCAAATTCTGTGGGGATATGCATGGAACCCACAGGAGGCAGGGCAGGCAGGGTGCTCCCTGTGGGATCCTGGGACCTAATGTGCAGTATAGTTAAAATCTGAGTTTTGCCTCTCACTGAAGCCAAAGTTTGCCAAACTTTATGCCCTGTACTCCCCACCTAGCATCTCTTCTTCCTGCTCAGCATCTGCAGGAAACCCCTGCAGCAGCATCGGCATGCCTGTGGCTCCCAAGGCTGGACTTGTTGTGGGAAATCAGCATTTAAACCAGGTAATTTGGAACCCTGCTTGCCACGGAAGGGTGCAGTTTGGAGGACAAATCTGATCTCCATACACAGACAGCACATCCCTGATGGAAAGGGCGCCCTGCTCACATTACTGATCTCAGTCTCCCCACTGACCTGCAGTAAGCCATCATTTCACTGGCGGGTTCAGGTACTGCTGCCATGGCTGCTTCAGAAACCTGTGTAAAGAGGGGGAAATGAGTGACCACTTGCCACGCAGGCCCCATAAAGGTTGTCTTCATAGGTGAGTTTCCCTCAGCACCTAGTACATGGCCAGCATGCAGAGAAATGATCTTTGAATGAATGAACAAATACATGAAAGAGCCACCCTTTGGGTCCAGAGAGAAACATTTGCTAAACCAAACCCAAATCAGGAGTGCACCTGTTAGAAGATCTGGAGCAAGGGCTTTGACGCTCACCTTTCAGGTGTCAGCTGCTCTAAGCAGTATTCATTTCCAGAGTATTTCCCAAATCATAGCGTAACAGTACACCTGGCATTTGTGCAAAAAGCACAGCCCTCAGGCAGTAGGGGGAGGGAGAGAGAGAGAGAGAGAGAGAGAGAGAGAGAGAGAGAGAGAGAGAAGGAGACAGAGAGATTCTCTTAGAACCTAGTCATAAAAAAGAGTTAAAGTCATACCTGAGCAATGAAGACTGGCTGCAGAGAACAGAGCTCTGGAGTAGCTTGTGCCTCGGAGAGGTACGAATACTGTCTGCCAATTTCTTCCTCGCCTTTTTATGGTCTTCAAAAGCAGAAGTGGGAGGATGAGAAATTTTCCCTTTGGTTTACTGGTGTCACAACCAAGTTAAAAAAAAATAAAAAAGAGGACGATGGTAACTTCTGGGAGAGGGTAAACTAATTCTCCAGTCCATGGAAGTGCAAGTGGCAGTGAGCTGAGACTCATCGTGCACATGCATCATCATGCAAATAAACATCGTCTTCTACAACCATTATGCAGATTATGTCAATATTAATGTAGGATTTTCCTAAGTTACAGAATGTATTAATTGGAATTTTGGTAGGTATTGCAATGAATCTGTAGATTGCTTTGGGTAGAATGAACATTTTAACAATATTAATTCTTCCAATCCATGAACATGGCATATTTTTCCATTTCTTTGTGTCTTTTTCAATTTCTTTCATCAATGTCTCAGAGTTTTCAGGGTGCAGATCTTTTACTTTCATGGTTAAGTTTATTTCTAAGTATTTTATTGTTTTTGATGCTATTGTAAATGGGATTGTTTTATTTCTCCTTCAGATATTTTGCTGTTAGTATACAGAAATATACCAAAGTTTGTTTAACTCAGTGACCATGGAGTGCCTGCCTCAGGACAGCCCTCATATGTTAGAATATGCATGAGTAGTTGGTTCATAATTGGTGCATGGAGTCTAAAAATGGGGCCTTCCCTACCCCCATTGGCACATCTATATTATCGCACTTATTATAACACTGAATTGAAAGTTTACTCACTTATCTGGTTCCTGTAGGAGTGAACTCTTTTAAAGCTCGGCCTACCACAATGCCTGACATGCAAACTCAGAGAGTAAAAGTTTGCTGCCTCAGTGGGTGAGCAGGAATTTGCCAGTGTTTTCCCTCAAATAAGCATGTACCAGTTACTGTGCTTGCTCTGCGCTGTCCATTGGAGGGAGCCTCTGACTTTTACAGGCAAGAGAGAAACAGATTCTACTGTGGGGAAGGACAGTCCAATGGGCTTGCTCACCAAGAGCCTTTTGATTCATAGTTTGGCTCCTAGTGCCTTGATATCTGGAAGGCAGATGCAAGAATTCCACCTTTGGTGAGTTACATATTCCACAAGAATCTGAAAACTGCATCCTATTTAATGTATCAAGTTCTTGTGAATTTGGTAAGCAGTAGCCTGTTCCCAGCTCTAAGCCCTCATAAAATTGGGTACCTAGCTCTGCAGACATCCCAGACACCTTGCCCAGGGAGCCCAATGAACTCCTCTGTTTTGGTTCCGCAGCATTCACTCTGCAAAGTAACCACTGGTCCCCACGCTGCAGTGACAGAACTATCTCTTTCCTCAAAGTCTTTATGTTGGGATCAGCAGGACCTGCTGGTCTGCTAGCTCTGTGGACTCTCCTGACAGAGAACACGAGATGTTCTCAATCTGTAGCTGTGAATAGAAGCTGACTGAGTGATGAAAGCCAGTGACAGGGAAGGAGGTATGCCAGAGACTGGAGCCCCATGCAAATCCATTCTGTTCCTGGGGATTGAGAAGGAGGTAGGAATTTTGGACCTACTTCTCCATCTCCTGGTATCCAGGGTGTACGAGTCTCATTCTTTCTGCTCAAGGGAAATTTTGGAGCCGTGGGGTGATGCCCCTTGACGTAGTTGCCTACAGAAGTCTTTACATGTCTCATCCCAGTCTGGCACTCAAAACCTGGCAGCATCCTGTCCCTCTAAGGAAATGAAACATCTTGTGTCATGCAAGCAGATTGCACAATACATGTATTATACTATGTCTCCACAAGGAGACCACTCAGGCCACAGAGAGCACAGATAGTTGCACTGGGGTGGGTAGCTGGGAGAGTGATGATAACTTAGACCCTAGGGAACGGAAGCAGCAGAAATAGGAAGTGGGAAAGGCCAGAATGTTGTGGGGAGCTCTGGCTTCGGGGAAATTCTTCAGTTCTTATGTCACTCAAGCTCTTCTCAGCTGCAAGTTGCCCTCCGCCCTGGCAGGTCATTCTTCCAAGAAAGGAGACTGGCATTCAGAGCAGCAAGTGCCTTGATACTATCTTATGTCCGATCTTGGACTTCTACCCTCCCTTATTAAGATTGGCATCACCAAAATGGTCTTCAATCATTTGAAAAAGGAGACAAGCAAAATGATCATGGCTAGTTTCTTATATTATCATGGGTGAATCCAGTAATGTCTGCTCTCTGCCATGAGCCATTCTTTAGTGTTTCTTCTCTTGCTCAGAACAGAACTAAGCCATGACTGTCCCCACCATTTTCCCCAGATCCCAGATCATCCTTGGCATTGACTTCCTAACATTGTTCTTAAGAGTCTACCTTTTCTTCCATAATTTCTATGGGTCTCTCTGCTATTTGAAAGTATAAATGTCCTGTGTAACCATATCTGTACCCATGGATATGTCTCTCATTTGCTTTCTACTTTGAGAACTATTTGGGATTGGACAGTTGGATTTTTAGTTTTGAGGCCTCTGCTCTTCCTTTTACAGCATCATTTACTTGGGCCTGCCATTCCCTCTTGAACCCAGCTCCCTGAGGAATGCTTAGCTACATGAGCAGGTGGCTGGGTCTGGTAAGGTGTATGGTCTCCAGTGGCTTCTCCACCTCTGAGAGACCAGTGGAACTTTATCTTTCCTTTAGATCCAGCAACAAAAGCCCCAGGATGGGTGCAGTAAATGCCAGGCCCTCCTGCTCCGTGTCTCTTCTCACACGTCTGGTACCTCTTGTACCAAGGGTGTGGAAGTGTTAGCCATAAGGGCCATAGAAAAAAGGCAGTCACACAGGACCTATTTTGAAAAATAGTTTTTCACAATGAATGATGTTTGATAAAATAGTTCCAGAACTGATCTAAGTTAACCAGCGATGTGCACAAGCAGAAAGTTATGTATTAGAACTAGTAGTAATTTAAAAAATAGAAAAGGACCAGATAATAAATATTTCAGGCTCTGCTGATCATACGGTCTCTGTTGCAACTGCTTAGCTCAGCCCTTGTTGTGAGAAAGCAGCCACAGGTGATGCATAGATGGGTGACCTTAGCTTGATTTGTCCTGCAGGTTGTGGGATACAACCCCCTGTGCTATAGCATTATAATTTATCATTTTTCTGGGATACAAATTTAGGAACAACGCTTAAAAAAAAAAAAAAAAGAGCCGACCTTTACTGAACACCTACTAGGGGCCAGGCACTTTTGTCTCATGATCTTATTTAGCCTTCGCAATAAACTTTGAGGCAGATAATACCATACCGTCTCACCTATGGGGAAACTGTGCACGCACACACAGAGGAAGGGGAGCAGCACTACACAGACATGGTAGCTATCCTCATCACTTCCCCCCCCTCATCTTCAAGGAGTATTGAAGATGCACACAATTCAAGACAATATGTGGCTGGTGGCATACGAACTGCCATGGAGGAGTCACCTGCCCTTTCCACCACTCACACTCAGGGACATGCGAGCCAGAGGAGGGAGAGAAAGTGGGCTCCAGGCTACACACTGGCTGCTTTCTGGGAAATTGCAGGCTCTTGTTGGAAGGTTTGTTTACTGCCGAGCGGAGCTGAGGATGGAGGCCTCAGGAAAGGTGGGGGTGAGTGTTTGCTCACTGGTTAAGCAACTCTGAGATAGAACTGGGTTAGTCCCCATGTAGCCATTATCACTGTCTGGCTTGGGACCCTGAAAAGAATGGCTTTCTACTGTCAGACATCCACAGAGAGAGTGTGCTGAGGCAGAAGAAGTCCTGGTGTGTGTGGGGAAACTTTTCTCCGTTCGGCCTCCCGGTGGCCAGGGCCAGGGCCAGCACTCTGAGCCTGGGACATGCCTAGAGCTCACCCTGGGCTGTGGGCCTGGGAGTAGTCACACTGCCCATCCTGGCAGCTTCATTTCCCTTCCCACTTCGTCTAGCCTTCAGAAAAGCCTTATTGAAGGCAGGAAGGAGGTTTCAGGGATTTGTGGGAGTGCAATATTCCCTCTCCAGGATGGACGTGGCAGGAGCAGTTAGGAACCATTCTGTGCCCAGCAGAGCATCCCCCTCATGGAGGTCCCTGAGGGTGGGGCCTGAGCACCTTGGCCCTCACAGTGCACCAGATGCAAGAGCAGTGCCGGCAGATAGCTGGTGCTCAGCCCGGTTTGATTGACTTGAATAAGTAATGAATGAATGAAGGTCGCCTGCAGCAGATGTAGTTGTGGCAGCCTGAGGTGGAGGCCGGAGGGTGGGTGCTGAGACAGTGTCACGAGGGACACATTGAGGGGTTTCATAATTAGGCATAAAGTATATTTGATCTCTGCTGAAAGCTGGACATGATGTACATGGTTAATGAATTGAAGGGAGCAGAATAGGCTGCTCCAAATGTGCCATTTTGGCATGTGGATTATTTTGAACTGAAGGCAACTGAGACCCACAGACTCAGGAAAAGCTTTTTTACATCCCCGCCCCGCACCGGCCCCTTAACTGCCTAAAATAGTGAAAATCAGAGCCTGCACCAGGAGGAGA